AATGAATGAATGAATGAATGAATGAATGAATGAATGAATGAATGAATGAATGAATGAATGAATGAATGAAATAACTTTTAATAAAAACAACATGTTCATTAGCTATTTAGCTAAAATGTTATTGTTTTTCTTTCAGCTGCTTCCTTCTGCAAGGGTCACCAGTGAATTCACGTGAAAGATTAGGCAAGTATTTTAACCCAGGTGGCCTTCCTGRTGCAACCTGGGATGGAAACTGCAATCTCAGTATTACAACACTGCAGCACCGAACACCAAACTATAGCCACCTGATTCCAGCCGCAATCTAATGTCAAATTTTCTATCTAATTTTAATTAAAAGTGCTAAAAAACAAACTCGGATCAGGCAGTCTCTCTTTGAGCCACATAATAAAGACACACAGTCAAGATGAGACAAGAAATGTAATCTTGTGAAATCGTTTTAGTTTTACTACATAAAGCAGGTGGAAAGCAGATAAAATATCTTTAACTAGAAGTGTTTCTAAGTTTAGGGTTTAGAGATAAGATTARAAAATAAAACTCTTAAATATGTAAAATAGTTCCTGTATGAATTTTATTATCAGTTATTATTAGTTACACTGACTGAAATTATTTTATTGGACATGCAGTAAAGCATGTTTTATTTAATTAAATTATTTCTTTGTTGCTAGTAAAGAAAACATGCCAGCATATTTGATTTTTCTTCTTTCCTTAAGTCATTTACCATCTTTAAAACTGCATTTATATAGATTTTAAATTTATTATAACATTTGTTTTTAAGTATAAAGAACTTTTCTTATAAACCCAACATGTATCATCTCATCCCACCTGTCCTGAGTTGTGTTTCAAACAAATTGTTTATAGATTTAGAATATTGTGCACACGAGCTGCTTCAATTATGCCATGCCGTCATCTTGCTCAGAATATCCTGCAGTTCARTAATATTCTCTGACGTGAAGCCCATCCATCTCATATATATCTTCACCAACTCTGCTGCACACTCAGCATCAGAAACATACAGAACAAAGTTCAAAGCTTGCATTTTCTTAACGTCCTGTTTCTTTATTTTCTTTTAAAATTTGTTAAATACATTCAAAATTTGTATTTTGAGTCAGATGTCTGTGTCCAAACATCACGTGCAGGTTGATGGAGGCGGTAGACTTTATACATCATAGAAATGTCTCTTAAAATTCAATGCAACTAGAGCATATTTCCTCATTTGAGTGACTTTTATGCAATGATAATATAACTAACTGTCAGGATGATTTCTATTCATTCTTGCATGTGATGAGTTTATTTCTGTCCGATGACGGACCACCGGCTCTTAAACCTGACACCAGAGAGGAGGAATATTCAACTCTTGTCCGGCAGCAGATTTAACAACCACATATCTGTCACAAACAGGAAGGTTTGGAAAATTCAGCTGCAATCAGGAGATTAAAACAAACTTTTGTTTGTGGAGTTTAATACTGTGAAACTCTGGTTATATTATCAAACCTTTCTRCGGCTCAAAGTAAACCCAGACAAATTGCATTCCTGCGTGAAAGTCTGATGCAAGCTGCTGACCTAACTGTCCTTAGTGAATATTAAAAAGGCACACCAAGTGTAAAAATCTTACCTTCCAGGTTTGTAATCCATTATCTGAGRCCTGTTCATTAAACTCCTCAAATGGTTTTTGGACACCACAAAAGGCCCTTCCTGTCTGATCCTGACCGGTCACCTTACACAACCACTCCCTGGCAGCTCCAGGCTCCGTCTGTTGACAACCGTCCAAAGTAAAATCCTCCACAGCGAATTCTGTGAGCTCCTGACCAGCCCCAGGCAGCAGGATTTGGGACAGTAGTCCAGATGGAAATAGAGGCACTGTCCCAGAGAGAGTGTCCACCATGGGGGGGGGGCATCAGAAGGCTTGAACTAGCATGTGGGGGTCTGCGAGTTCCCTTGGTGTCGAGTGTCAGGAGGATGAAACAAACAGCCTCTCAACTATTTATAAATCTGGACAGCCACTGTTGGTCAGTAGCTGCAAGAGCTAACTCAGTCTGGAAGTGGTTTAAAATAAAAATACGTGTTGAAGATGTGTTTGATTGTGTAGTTTTAAAGACATAAGTTGTATCACATTGGAGTCCAGTTCTCTGCATTGAGCAGAACTGAGGGACACTGCTGAGAGTAGTAAACACCACGTCACAGCAGTCTGAATGAAGCTAAATAAATGAAAGTGAGAGGTGTGTTTTAGCAGCTTTGCCTCAGATTTCCATCAACTCTTTTGTACAAATATCTCCTGATTTTGTCTTGCTACAAATTTCCTACTGGCTTTTTAACGCAATGTTTCCACCTATAATCTCCCCTGACTTCAGCTTCACTCAGCCCAACAGAAAAGGCCGTAAAGCAGTGGGAAGGGAGGAACCGTACCCCCCCTCCACCCCGACCCCCTCGTTCCCTTTCCCTCCTACAGCTCCAAGCTATAATAGGCGATTGCTGCAGCGGATAGTTTCCTGGGATTGTTGGCGGCTGCAGTGCTGGCGTGGTGGGATGATGGACACACACACATGGGCCTTAATGGAGACGCACTCTTTCACATGCGCAAACCGCACACACAGTCATCTCTCACAGAGACAGAGGAAAGACTGAGGTAATGCCTTTTAAACTACTCCCTCTTCTCCTCCTGTCTAAAAATCGCTTGCACACACAAACATTTCTCTTTGGATTTATTTTAAACTGAAAAATGGCTTTAAATTTGTATTATAATTTAAAAAAATTGTTTACTTAATAAGTAAACATAAAAGTAATTTAATATCTGAGAGCTTGAGATTATAAGGATGGAAGGTATGGACAAATCCCCTGCTCACCACATCCCTCTAGTGGACAAAGCTTGTATGTGCCGTGCAAAAGCATGTCAACTTTTTTTTGGACAGGTTGCAGTGCAACTTTGCAACTTCTAGTTTCACAGAGAAGCCGTGCAGGACTGTAAGCATTGATCACCCTCTTCCTCGTGCTGAGTAAGGAAAAGCCGAGCTGTGGTTATGTGGCAGACAGCAGACACATTACTCGCTGCATTAAGATATGCTTTGTTTGTATAATCTCCATTCAGACATGAGCTTAACTGATTCTAATTGATTGCGTTATTGATCAGCTCTGCAGCAGGAATTAAAAAGCAGAAGTGATATTTTAGTGGGACCCGGCCCGAACGCACTGAATGTGCAACTTTGAGTTCCAAGTTAGAGAAGAGTTGCAACAAATGTACAGATCTGTGAGTTTGGCTGTGTCTGTGTTTCTTACATTCTGTGTGTGTGTGTGTGTGTGTGTGTGTGTGTGTGTGTGTGTGTGTGTGTGTGT